CCCCCTGGGCATCCTATAATACTCCTTAAATCAAATTAATTCAATATGGCCGCCGTATCGGTAAAAAGGTCTATTTTGTAAAAATTTGACATTCATTTTCTCGGGCTCCCATGAGAAATTTTCTTTTGTGTTATTAGAGATGACTAATAACATCTTTAAAAAATGTAAAAAGAATACAATATGCTTTAAATTATTCAGGTACAAAGTTTTTGTCCACTGAGAATTAAAATTAGTCAATTTCCTGGTGGATTCCGTCTTAATCTAACGCAATAAGAATGACAATAGCATGATTAGTGTAATCATCTATCACATGAGCTCTACATTGAAGTGTTTTAATTTGGGGTGTTATATGAAAGAGCCATTGCAAAAACTGAATAGTGTAGGAAACTTACAATATATAGATATAATTAAACCCGTGATCGGTACGTTATTACGCTGCAGGTTGCGTAGAGATCAGTGTTTGAGGTGGGATTGTGAAGGAACACCTGTTCAGTTTTAAGTACGTTACTTGGCAATTAAAATTCGTCATGATCATGACTTGTGATGTTTATATCATTACAAGTCCTTACCGGCTTAATGCCCAGATAAGTTCAGATAGGTGGGCGATGCTTAAACCTTAAATCGAAAAAAACACTACATTAATTTCTAGGGTACAGTTTCAGAATTTTTTTGAGAGAATAAAATGAATGAATCAAATTTTTAAAAAAATCCCTCTTTTGAGGTCAAATTTGCTGAGGAAAAGGAACCAGATTAAATCTATTTCTACAAGAAAAATTATCTTCAAAATTTTTTCCGCTTGAAGTAACCTCCTAGATTTCTTTCTTATTGTTTCGACTTATAACTGAGTTGCACTACGTTTTCAATATGACTGACGCAGAGGCCGAGTGATTAAGATATCTTAGAATTAAACTGAAAACCTACAAGGTTTGCTCTCCTATGGACTAAATTTCCAGGGGGGTGTTTCCTTGAACATTGTTGTAATTTTCATTTGAAGAAATATGCTTAAAGGGATTTCTTAAGCCAACCAGTATATATAACTATCCGTTTTAAAGGGTCGCCGACCATAACAATCGATTCAGTGACATGAACTCTGTCAAGGAAATTTTGACACCACTTTTGAGTTATAGTCAAACAACCATGCATAGATAGATGTATTAATTTTTGTGCAACTAGCAAAAAAACTGGTAAAACTATGATTAAATATGCCTGTTGCCTTTCGTTCCGCTTGACAAATGAGTAACTTGAAAAATCATTGGGTTCATAGACAAGTCATTTTCCAGTGATCCTCGAAACAAACCAAAACAGAAATAAACAAACAAACCGAACTCACTTTTGATCGACAGAAGTTACTTTCTATTCTAAATTTTACTGATAAGTTAAACAAACCTGGTTTTGTAGGCTGTTCTGCCTCGTACGCTGCCTCTGTTACTGTTTTTGTAATTGCTAAACGCCGTATTCTCTCACCTCTTCATCAATAAATTCATCGCCAATATAATGACTTTCCGGGCAGATTTTATCTTTGAATTGGAAATACAGGCACATTTCCTTGAGGCGACAAAGTTACTTTGGACAGGTGGCACACACAATCATATGCAAGTAGAATGACCCTTGAACTGAAGAAATACAACCTTACCTAAATCAGAGCAAAACTGAAAGCTTTAAGGACCTAAAACAAAATATGTAGACCACGTTAAATCCCTTTCAGGTATTACGAATGCCATTCATTCAACTGGGTTTCAGTACTTATAAAAGCCTTGCTCCGCCGGTCAATCTCGCCACTAGCGCGTGAGAGCCCCAAAAGAGCCAAGCAAAAAAAGAAAAATTTATAATAGTATGTTCACTGGGATTCTCGAATCTCAGTTATCAAAAAAAAAATTTGTGATTTCTTAACTATCCATGAAAATTCAGTCCATTTTTCAGCTATCAGTTAGTTTAGAATGATGGATCTCAGCGGTCACTAGAAGAGTTTCATTTCTCAGCTGAAGACAAAATTTTGACTTTTCAGTCTCAACTGCCACTTGCACCCCATAGCCTTTTTAGTTTTTTTTTTGTACTGTCAATTTTGTCTATACTTTGCATTGTAGATTTTAAAACCATTAAAACTAAAACTGTAAATGCAAATATTGCGGGTAAAAACAGCCTTCCGAAAGGAAATTTTCAAAACTGTCATAAAATATTTCCTTAAGCATTACAGGGCTCAAATCTCCTTTTAATTCATAACAGACAATTTGAGCCCTTAAATGCGTAAGAAAAAGATTACACGACAGTTTAAAAAATTTAGAATTTTCAAGGATTTGTATGAAAAACCAAGCAAGCGTGACTGGGTTGGGAAAGTTGTTTTTCTCATACAAATGCTTCTAACTTTCAGCAGTCGTTGCAAACACTACTATTTACCTTATTTTAATGTGCTCTTTCAGCAAATGTTTCAAAAGCGAACTGTTTTCGTGTTTACCGAAAGTTGATCACGTGATCAAGTCATGCAAAGAGCCTGTTAGAGTAAGGTATCTTCTTCATTCTGATTGGTTAAAAACTTGAGTTATCCTACGCAGTGAAGAATACACGGGCACCCAACGGCAATTTTCGGAAAATATCTGTTCGGAAGACGATTTGAGATCTATAATTTTCGGAACATTTGTTGTAAAATTTCTTGCTTGCCTGCCTCTCCTAGGATTTTCGAACATCTACAAAATGGTATAATTACCCATTTTTAACGAATTTTTACCCTAAAAAAGGCCACCTAGAATTTTCGGGAGCCTTTTCTCGGCTGAAATTTTCGAAAAGGTAAGTTTTGATCCCAATAATCTTCGGATCACTAGACTTTCAGCTAGGAAATCCTAACAGATGAAAAGTTTTTAGGGGATAAAAATATGCCTATGTCTACCGTTTAAATACTAAAATACGTTCAACAATGCTATGTTTAAGTGGTTTTGAACTATATTCTCGTTGGGTGCCCCTGAAGCGGTGTCAGGTAGGTTTTCCATTTATTTTTTCCAAGATTGTGGGTTCTTTAAGGGTAGCTGGAGTGTCTGGCATTTCACATTTACTTCGACTATCATGACAGCACTACGTAATAGCTGTTCACGTGAAGTTACACGTGACTGGCTTTAGGATAAACTACGGTTGACACCTGCAAGCATAACACTCCCTTTATTTACAATGTCCTCAGCTTAATTATTCCACCTTATTGCATTCAAAACCATCTGATTACCTATATATAAGACGTACTGCAGAGAACCATTCGTTTCTGATTAGAAAAAAGGTGTGCAATTATTTCCAAATTGTCACAACTGACTCCTTTGATAATATTGATCATTACGTCATTTATATTCCAAATTTTAAAAGATCTGAAGATAGTAAAGGATATCCGCGTGAAACTGAAGGCTTTTCGATCGTAAAAGGTATCGAATTGAAGGTTTCTATGTAATTTGACCAGTGGCCGATGCAGTTCAAGGTCTTACACAGATTTCCAAAAGCAGCTGAACTGCCTGGGGGTGTCTGAAAGTGGTACCTTTTTCATGCTTCAGGTATATGAAACTGGGTAGGGATTTCACCACTTGAAGTATGTAAGAAAGTAGGGAAATCTGTCATTTGGGTCTGTAAAAATACCCGAAAGGGCTAACAGATGCATTTTATGGCTGTAAAAAAGTCTGGAAAACGTTCTGGTTTTGTGGTTTCAGTTATTCTTATTTAAAAGACAATAGTGTATTTACAGTAGCTAAAAGGGATTCAAAGTTCTAGATTGGATATGTGAAAGGGGTACTATTTATCGATAGATGGTATGCGAGAAAACATGCATGATACATTAAAGAGTAAGAGGTTGGACCTCGGAGCTTAGCCTCCCCGTATAAAAATTTGTTGAGTACACCCTTGGGCTAAACGGCCCTACGAATATTTAAAAAGTTGAGTTTTACTCGCTCAATTAATTGTTAAGATATACACATTCTCTTGATTTGTTAAATGTAATATAAAAGTGTCGCCGCCTTTTCGCGTAAAATTATCCGTGAGTAAGTAGCTTCTAATGATGTTTTTAAATGTCTCAAATATCATTCAGTCATGAAAGTTTAAGAGCTTTAAAAATATCACTCGTCAACATACATCAGTCCAATTTTACTCGAGTTCAGCCTAATTTCTAAAACTGAAAATTTTCCTCTTGTTCACTTAACCCCATGCAATTTAAACTGTTTATTCAGCAGATCGCACAAGATGCCCAAAGTTCGTTGACATTAGAGACCTCTAGATTCTCAGACGAGTACGACTACGAGTAAGAGATTTTCTCAGTACTAAGTAGTTCCCAAGCGTGAACCAGCGTCATTTTGGCGGGAAAATGTGGTAGCCCTCGTCATTCTACTACGAGTTTTAGCGCGAATGTCGTGCTGGCGAAAACAAGATAACAAATGTTAGAAGTTTTATCATTTTCCGATCGGGAAAGCGCATAACCTCCTTCACATTAGATAACAGTACTGACTTTTCTAGTGAAATATGATAAACTAAAGCTTTCCGGGAAGTCTATATTTTAAATTTAAGTCAAACCGCGTACTCGTAGTCGTCCAGGTCTCTATTGTCAAGTAAAAGCAAGAGTTCAAATTTCATCATGACTCCCTTCTATTTTTTCGTAAAGTCTATTCTACAGCGCTGGACAGCGCGCAATGGCTCGTGCAGACCATCAAGAGCCTAGTATAAAATATGGCCAATGTTAGTCACTAAAGAAACTTTCCCATGAGCCATTTGTAACATTCGTGTTGTGATCTAAACGCCAGAGTATAGTGAGATAACTTCTAAAGGTTTTCACTGTACTGAGACATAAATTATTAACATTACTTAAATTTAAAGCATTTTATAAATAACTTAATCTACACAACGATTATTAACGTGCATCTCCGTGATGATTACACTGTAATTACAACTACAAACTTCATTTCCTCTGACAAAACAAGAATAATCTATTGTTGCTCCTTTGTCCTTGAGCTGATACCATATAAAGCATATCAAAGAACGACAGCTCATTTCCCCGACTTTCCATTTCTCCTTTTACTCTTTCCCTTATGTTTTCTGCCTTTTTTGGCCCTGTTGTAGATTGTACAGTGGATTTTGAAAGTACTGCAATCGGATACATTCGTGGGCCTCTCGTTCTGCCCCACACAAATACGAGTGCATGCCTCGAGACCACTGCAAGATGAATTGTTGTTGGCGTTTTGTCTCCTCTTCATCTGCCTTAAAAATTTGTTGAATGGTCCCCCGCGGCGCTGTCTGTTTCTTCTAGGGAGGGCATGCTGTGGTCTGGGTGAACTTGCATTGGTAGCTTGGGTAGTTGGGGCTACTGTGGTGATGTTGGTGGAGTTTTTTGAAGCTGGGTGAGAGTAAGAGAGAACTACGTCAAACGTTTGTTATATAATTATAGTTTATGTCATGTGTTCAAAAGAATACTGAAGTTAGCTGGGAAAATTTCATATGCCAATATGACAAAACTAGCCAAGAGCATTCTGAATTTATATAATTTAATTTTTTAATATTAAATTTAAAACAGTGTCAATGCTGTATTTGTAGCAATAGGCCTGGCTGGTAGAACAGGGCCAGGTTGTTCAAAGCTGGGTTAAGATAACCCAGGGTTAGTGCGAAATTTGAAATCAGATTTGAAAGCTTAAAAAGTAAATTCATTTTTATTCTTTCTGTCAACAGGTTGATGATTGGATACTCTTAAGAATAACAGAGAAAATTATCCGAGAAAATGCTTTTGAACAAAGAAAAAGAAAGCCGGGTTAAATTTAACCCTGGGTTAAGCGCTAATCGGCCTTCGAACAACTGGGCCCAGGTGTTACTATTAGCACACATTTCACAAAGACATTGTCGGACGTCATTATACTTACTGCCGTTGGTACTTGTGTTTTCCTCGTGGAGTGGATCCTCGGTCAAAAAGCGATAAACGTTAGCTCCGCGACAAAGACTGCTGACAGCATCATCCCAGGAATATTCGCTACGCGACTTCCCTCCGTGGGCTGAATTCTAGAGAGGAAATTGATGAATCAGTTTAAGATTTGTATTTGAGGCCTGTTTACATGGATGTGGGGGAGCCCTGAGGTGGGCTAGGCGGGTTACCCCACCTTGGTTGAGAGGATTGCCCGGTCTTCCCTGCCTCGGCGGGTCACTACAACTATTATGTAAAAAAGATCAAATTAATCTGAGAAATTATATGTACAGGTGGGTTACCCCACCTAAGAGGATGACTTCACCAATCCGGCGTCCCCGACTTCCATATAAATAGGACCGTAGTAAATTGGAGTCTTCTGCTCTTTGACTATTGTTTTTTCATTCTTCTTCTTTTTCTTCCTTTGTTTCCTCAATAAATGAGAAAACGAAACAAAAGAAGAATGGACTCCAAACTGAGTCGGCGTTTTGCTGACTCTCCTTTACTAACCCATTATCAACCAGTCACAATTAAGTGAATTGTGGTCGTGAGTTGAGCCATCTGAATCACAATGGTAACACCACACAATGCCTCGCGCTATGGCAGCACTTAACTCATGCGCATAACCGAATTGCTTGCACGCGTTTCAGTGTGACAGGCGTTTGAATGGGAGCCTCCTTTAGGGAGAGGGGAAAGTGAAAGCGTTGACAGTCCCTCACATGTTGGTTTGCACATAGTTATCGAATGCCAGTGCCCCTTTAATTTCCAACGGCATTAACTGACGTGAGAATTAAATGAAGCCAGGATCCAAGAACTTTTACCATCAATACTCTTTCAGAAGCACTTACCATAGGATGTTCAAAAACTGGCTCTATTTTCCGGTTGGCCTAAAACAGAATTAACCCAAATATTAGTGAATTTGTTATTACATGTAGAAATAATAGAATTACTCGCAGGCTATCTAAAACAGAGTCAATAGCGCTGGCATAGCGTGGGTATTGTCATTAGCATCGACCTTTCCAATAGCATTGCGCTTGTCATTGTTACTGCCAGTGTCAATGTCATTGTTATTGTCACTATCCCAGATACTACCTTTGCCCCTGTCAATGCCATTGTCTTTGTTATTGTCATTGTTGTTGATTCTAACTGTGGGTAGCATATTGATTTTTCCAACCCAAAAGTGGGGCTCCTGTTAAATATCAATGTTATAAAGAGTAGTGGAGGAATGAGCCGCTCGGGAGGTCTCTCCTAATTGGTTGCAGGAAAAAATGACTTGTCATTCTTCCAATTGGGTCAGGGAAACGCACCATTGGAGACTTCTCTTCTTAGCAGCTGCTACGTGACCCTTTATAAACGTTAACTTGGAACAAACAAATCATCACCACTAAAAAAGAACAATAAGCTTGTGGCCACTATCCTAAAGAAAATACTCCCTTGGGAGAGAAATCTGTTTGAAAAGAAAATGTATACTCTCAATGGGTATTGTACCTGGGCCCGCCCACAAGATACCCATTTTGACAGCTTTCAGCCAACACTGATATGGATGGCGTATATCACTTTATAAAAGAAAGCAAATCCTCACCCTAACCCTATTCTTCTTTTATGTCTGGGAAAATGTGACTAAAAATAAATGGAGGGAGTGGACGGAAGGTCGCACGGAGGCTGAGGTGACACACCAACATTTGTCGGATTTATAGGTTACCAATTTTTCTTAGCACGCTCGTAACAAACCAGCTCAGAAGAACTATTCAATGTTTTGAATAGTTCAGTTAAGTTGCTTCGGTGCTTTAGCTGCTTGAATAATACCGTTTGATTTTCAAACTTATACAACAGGCCGTAAAGTAGACGTAACTTATCACCACTGACCCATAAAACTTCGTAATTGCCTAGTCGGTTTTTAACTAACTTTTTCAGACTCAATTAGTGTTAAATTAGTGAAAGATGAGCTCATTGAAGCGCACAACAACTCTAATAAAGTGTATTTTTAATGCATTTCTTTATGAGACCGGCGGTGCTTCCACGAACACCTATTTCCAATTACCGAAATGTCAGAGAATCTGAAGCCTTATATCTATTTTTTTTAAAAAAATATATATATATATATATGTTTTCGGAATATGCTAGAACAATCACAACAGAGTCTCATTTCACTTGCAATAGTTCTTCTTTGATAGGAAGAAGAATGCATTCACATTGTCATGTGTTGTTTAAAAGTGATTAGAACACTTCAGTGGGTAATTCGAAAAACAGTACTATGATTAATCACCTGAGTCGTTTTTGAGGAAGTTGGGCTTTTGAATCAACTCATTGACCGACGGAAAGACCCTTTTATATTCAATAACTTTGTTCATGATAATCTCTCAATTTTTTATTGTGATTGCATTTCCAGATTGATCACTCTCACTGATTAGGATTTCATATGGCCAGTTACGAGTATCTAGACGGACATGGTCGCATGACTGAGAAAAACAACGTTTTTCCTATGAAGAGATGGCACTGCTTTCATTACGAAAGCAAATCAAAAGCTACTCTATATCCTAGCGCAATTAAAGCGATGATGAACTCAAAACTGTTAACAGCGGGGTTTTAGAATTTCAGCAAAAACACTTTATTTTCGAAAGGGAAACTGGTGAATATATGATAATCACGGTCGTTGTGAACATTCCGCTCACTTCGTTTCGTGTTTTTTATCGGTTTATCATCTTTTCTGGTGCAACGGATACGCAGTTGAAAAGAACGATTAGATACCATGTCATCAACAAGAACATTAATAATGATTTTAAGGTCAACTAATAAAACCCTAATCTAGAGGGCTTCTTTCCAGAAAAAAAACTGGGCGTTGTTGCAATCAGCTGAAAATTGTAATACGTTGGTGAAAACAAACTCATTAAGGGCAAGTCAATGCTTGGCTTGATAGGGGCCCAGCAAGATAAAAATAGTTTGCCTTTGGCAAAAACAGGCCGTCGTAATTTCGCTGAATCTCTGAATTTCGATCTCGCTGAATTTTTCGGGAAATGAATTTTTTTTGTGACTTTAAATTTACGGCATTCTTGTTGATATTGCCATAGGTAAGATGAAACGCCGCGACGAAACTGGTAGAAGTTTCTAAATGAGGTAGGGATGGTTAGTTTATACTGAAGAAAGGTTTTTGTAGCTGCATAATTGCACGTTCACTAATCCGCGGTGAAAATGGGAGGAAAATAATCAAACTATCACGTGATGGCACGTGAACGGCTGTCTGTAAGTAATATCGAATCCAATACATAGAAATCGGAATTCATACATTCTGGTCAATGTAAGGTACGTCGCGTAGAATTCCGGGTCCATTGAGGTCAACAGCGATGAGGATCAACCAGAAAAATCACAGGAAAACTTCAATAAACGTCAACTCCACCGTTAGGTGTCTCGCTCAGCACTCAATGGTCGGCAATTTTCATTACTAACCAGCGCCGGGGTAACTAATGACCTTTATCTGCTTTGTTCACCAAACTAGTTGACGTTCTTCGCTCGCCAGAGAATTTTATAAAAAGACCGAACGAAGGTTTAGTTTAAAATGGACTCTCTAAAACAGGGTGCCAACTCAGGCGCTTTAGTAATAAGGAAAGTGTGAGGCCAAAGCAACACGGCCATCCTTAAAAGTGCCTCACACAAGGGTCACCCAAGGAAGGCCTCCAAATAGGGACCTAAATAGTGGAGAAGTGAACTGGCTTTTCACTCACAGAAACGGCCCAAGTCAACCATAATTCAGTTGTTTTTTTTTTTTAAATGCTGAGAACCTAATAGCACCATAGGAAACTACTGAAGAAGTGGTTTTATCGGGTCACATCATGGGATTACGTTCACAGACTTAAAGGATATCACTCATTCTGGGAGTGAACGTGTTTAAGCCTAAAATATCAAGATTTCAGTGACATTTTCACATGGAGTTGCCAAACTCTGAACTGCTCTGTGGAATTTTACCATGTCTAATTTCATGCTTGAGGAGGTGTTTAATACGGTAAGTATAGTAATGCCCTTTCCTCACGTGACGATTCCATTGCAGGTGAACTTTATTTATCCATCTGTCAACACCGACTCGAAGTCAATTTATCTCTCAGTGGTGCACTTAAAATTGTCATTTCATAGTAGTTAGCTGAAAGCTGTCTGATTAAATACATCGAGTCCTTGGCTATGTTTATGGTACTACAATGATCTCGGAATTCGGAGCAGTTGATACAGGTCAGAGTGTCAGAGACAAGAAATTTTTGAGAATCTTTAATTAAATACTTGAAGCAATATTCCTTCCTGCATGTTTCTAATGAGATGGAAGTGGTTCCAGAGTAGTTTAGACCCACTAGATTCCACCCAAGACGTTTTAATGCGAATTAAAAAAGTGTTCAGCTCGGGAACATTACTATTAAATTTTTAGAAGGAAGAAGTCAAAAAAGGGCTTCCGAGAAAAATCAATTCCATTAATGTGATCTTAAAATCATGCGGAAACTGTCTTCAAATTTCTTTTACTGGTGTACTTCACCTCGGTATTCTTTGCTTTCGTTATGGAGTCAAACGTGGCGCATTGCACGATTGGCGAATTCAGAAAAGCTTAATAGTCTGAAAGATCTCAACGATGGGTTTTAAAGGAACCTTTCTTTTAAAGACCAACATAGTTGACTGTAATCTAATAAATCGGTTTAAGTCATAGTAATCCATGTATATAATTAGAACTTGTGGTTTAGATGCTATGATACCGATGTAATATAGTTACGGACAAGGTCCTGTGTCGATTTGCCGAGTGGTTTCATGAAAGGGTCAACAAGAAATCCCGCCTTGATTAAATCCTGCTTTGCTTGACAATGTTTGACAGGAAATTATACTTCTACTCTCAGGGATAGAAAACATCTCTAATGGAAGAGTAACTTTGTCGCCAGCTCAATTCAAATGGCCGTTCGCGACATCTTCTCTTTAAAGTAAAGCGAACCTTCCACGTAACAGTTCAGTGATGCTCGCATGAAAGTTTGGTAAAACAAGCTCATCGTCGTTGGAAACACCTCAAGTGAAAGGAAACGCAAGAGAGGAGGGAAATGCTGCGTAAGCAAAATCAAGAACGAGAATCGGGGGCTGAATACGCACCAAAAGTTACCCTTGTGCGATTCGTGGTAAAGCTATCTATACACGACAAAAAGTTCTACCCATAGGACACACACTAAAGCGCGCTTGTTTTGCTTACCTGTAGTCCACTGAAGAGCAGATTCCACAGAGCGCAGTTGTTGAGACTTGAGTGCTCCAGATCTGGGGTATCTTCCACAAAGCAAACGGGAACCCTTGAACACGTTTCCACCTTCAAGCAGGCAAACGACTAAAAACGTTTAAAAAAAATAAGAATTAAACGCATCTAAGCTTCATGATGCTAAGGCAAAAGACACCAATTGTCAAGTCTGATTTTGCAGAAAATAAATTGACAGTTTTTATAGCTCGTACCTTGGTGAGATCGAAAAACGCTTGCAGCTCCAAAATGTTCTTTCTCGAGCTTCCTGACCCATTCCTTTGGCATAGTTGTTGGAGTGTTTCCAGTGTTTCTCGGTCTCTAAGTGGATTTTTTCCCTTTCCTCGATCCCTTCTCTTCTTTACCCTAGCTTTCCCTACACTTGCGCAACAAGCTAAGACAAACAAAAGGACAAGAGCTATGACGATTCTCTGCCAGGATGCCATTTTGTAAGGGCGGTTATTAGCCTGTTAGGTTGATGCGACTTGGAGGCAGACACATCCCACAACTGACGATTGGAGATCAGAGGAAGATTTTATGCCGCATTCACAGACGACCCAGGTCAATCACGTCAATCTTTCTAATGACAATGTCATCTTCAAAAGATATTAAATATCTATTTGGGCTTCGTTGCGAGATATGTCCGGATTCCGTCCTAAACTGAAGGGGGCCATTTTGCTTAAGCCGACCCAAAGGTACGTAAGTCCGGCTGATTTCTTTGTCGCTGGCACCACCTTTTTACTGAGACAGTGCTAATCCTTTAACTGGTCGTTCAAGTCTCATTTCGCTCTCGTGTATTTAAAAGCTATAGGAGAAAACAAAAACAATTTCATGTCAAAAGGTTAAATACCGAGGCAGTGAAAACATAGGTAGCACAGTCGCTGAAGATGAAAGAGCTCGTTAGCAAATCCTTCTCCGGCGGAAACTTCTCAATTGGGGTGAAATTTCTGCCCAGGGGATCCTTCAGAGATTTGTCGGATTTCAAACAAAATATGAGACGCTGCTTGCATACCTCCTAATTGATAGAATTGAATCATTCAAATGTCAATCGAGACATTATTTCTACCATCAAAAACGGTGGAAACAAATATCCTCGCAGAAACGTAGCCAGACAGAAATTCTTGCCAAGGCCAAAAGGGAAAAATGATTTTCTAAAGTAAAGCCTTCTAAACCATATAATTTTATTAGCACCTTCAAAATCTTAATTAAGGCAACTGGCCTAGGTGCCTACTGCAGGCTACGAGATTGTCTCGGTACAGTTGTCAAACATTTGTTTAATTTCAAGTCAGTGTCAAATGAACAATCTCAGATCACACACTTGTGATCGTAAGCTACATTTTTTGTCTAACAGTCTCAAATTATATCCTGCCATTAACTCATCAATAGATTTTAATTTCTTAGCATCCATGTGGACTTTCCCTTAAGCATTCCGCACGTAGCGAAATTATTTTCATTATTTTCAATTTTTATTTTTGGTTTAGATAATGATTTTTTCTTTGTTTTTAATTTTGAGAACGTATGAAATGAAGGGGATGAAATAGGTCAGTTTCCCGTTTTTCTGAATTCATACTTGTCTACGAGGCTTAGGAATATAAAACAAAAGAAATTGCATTGATATTCAGTGATGAATAATTCATTTCTTTTGCTTTAGACCCCTTAGTCTCGGAGCCACAAGAATGAAGTTGGAGAATTCGAAACTGGCCCAAAATATACGCATGCGTTGAATTTCTTTTTTTTTTTTTCTCATGTGTGCTCCTTTCTCTAACAAAATAAGACAAGTATGTGAAGGAGTTTAATGTATATACAAGCGGGATCGTACTGCCCGTAAATATTTTGGAGCAGGAGTTCAAACTGAAGTAGGTGATAACTCCGGACGACACTCGAAGAAATACAATCCAGCGTCTTTTTGCTCAGTTTGCATTGAATACAATTTAAACGGACAGAGAAAGAAATCCCGTAAATATTTTGGAGCAGGAGTTCAAACTGAAGTAGGTGATAACTCCGGACGACACTCGAAGAAATACAATCCAGCGTCTTTTTGCTCAGTTTGCATTGAATACAATTTAAACGGACAGAGAAAGAAAAGCAAGATTGGCTGGAAGTATACAATTGAACACCTGAGCCGCAGGTAGTTCATAAAAGCAAATGTGACCAAGTATTCGGCCTGATGACTAGTATGGCTGCAGGCAACAACAGCAATTTATTGTACCCATATACTGGTAACAATGGCTGGGTGAGGAAGTCCTTTGGTTGGGTGGCTGGGTGGCCTTCGTTCACAAATCAGGAAGCCGGTTAATGATACCCAGTCACGGTAGCCGTGCACTTTAGGCAGGGCTAGTAAGCTTGAAAGACTTTGATGTTTCTACGTGCCAAGTAAGATCATGTGCGTGGGTTGATCCGATATCCAGTACAACAAGAGACTCACTTCATTTTATATTGACATCGCTAATAACTTCGTCAAAATTATTTTGGTATAATCTACTTTAAACTGAAACTTTATCTTGATGACACTACAGAACTCTTCAATTGAAAAACAACTATCGTCTTTGATTTACAGTTATTTTTTATAATCATCTCAAAAACTTGAAAATTTCAGCAAAATTACAGAATTATACTGCTTTAAACTAGCAGTCTTACAACTAATTTTTATCTCCGAATAACTCTTGTTGAAGACTACGTCACGAGGATCACGATATTGCTGTTTCCAGGTCAATCCTGTGCTGGAGTCATTTCCTTCTCAAACTAATTAATAATTCATAAAGAAATTACGAAGGAAATTAATGTTTAATGAGTGTTTGGAAATCAGATGAATCCTAATTTTTTCCTTCTAAAGTCATTTTGTTTGAGAGGTAATATCAAGCATTCGACACAGTGTTTCATCAGCATATGAAACACCGTGGAAGTTCGTCAAAAATACTCCGTTGCGCGTCGTATTTTCAACTCTCTTCCAGGTGCTTCATCTAGTGATGAAACACTAGCGTCTAATACATGCATGATTACTTAGTTCCCCCATACACCAAATGCTTCTGCAGAGTTATGAAGAAGATATTAAGCAAATTTCATCAGGGAGCTCTAACCATATTTTTTTTTTTCGGTGAGTTTTGGAGGCATGGCATTAAAACTCGAAAAAGTTTGCTTAACTTTGTCAAGTTTCAATCCATGTCCCGTGATCTTTGCCATCCGTAACAACCGACGACCGTACGGGAAACCTGTTTCAATGCCTAGTCAGTATAAGCCTTGAAAAGCATGATTGGACCATTATTTTCTGAATTCAACTGATGTGAAAGCTTTAAAAAGGTTTTTTTTAAAGATAGCATATAGCGTGACTCAGTCTGTTTAAATCTATTTTTACTTGACATTAGAGCAGGCAAAGTGAGCAGAACCCTCATGAGCAATGGGTAGCTGTCCACCCGAGATAAATTCTCCCGTTATCATGTGTTTTGATCCCAGCGAAAGATCTTACATTGGATTAATGATTTTGTCCCCTTCTTACGTAGAGCATTACTTAAATGAGAACATGAAAGGAGATTGTGCATCTAATTGTTAATGGAGACTTAAGGTGTCTAAAGCTCCTTGTGAGCGCAAAAACTTAAAGCCGTCCACGAGACTACTTCAAATTCTTTCTTAATACAATGGCTACACTTAAGTTTGTTATTTAAAGCTCTAATAAGATCATGAAGGGCAGCCCAGGCTTTGTCGGGTTTCATTCTAATGGATATCTTAGTTCTTAGCTGCAATTCAAGTCGATATACAATTATAACGATCGACGCGAAAAAGTTTGCTGTTTTAAAAAGGAAAAAAACATGCGATCAGGTGGTTAGCTGCCCTTAAGTTTGTTTTTCAAGCTCTAATAAGATCATGAAGGGTAGTGCGGGCTTAGTGGTTTCATTCACTAATGGATCTCTTAGTTCTTAGCTGTGATTCATGACCATTATACATGTATATAATGATCGATGAGGAAAAAGTAAACGTTTCAGTTTTAAAAAAGGAAAAACATGGGCTTAATACAAGACCTTAAATTTTTTCTTACGACAGTTTTTAGCAATCTCTGAAATTGTGAGTTTAGACGTCATAGTTTAGCGATGGTTGATGGCAAAACAGCTTGTTACCCCCCCACCCCCGGCACAAAAATATTTCAAAAGCCGTCATCAAACTCTCATAAGATAAAGCCTTCGCAAGTTAAAAGCACGTAGTTACATTCCAATGAACCTATTCTTGGTGCACTCAACACGCCACGTGAGTTTACCTCAATTGGATAAAGCGTTGTGCTCAAAGGTCGAAGTTAAGCCCTTGTTGTACAGGAAAAAAAATAACACCTTCTTTTTACTTAAAGCCGCAAGACCACTATTGATCCATGACCACCCAGTACAAAAAAGTTTGGATTCTTTTTGGCTTTGCTTGTAACTACAGTAAGTGACAGTATAATTCAAGCGCAGTAGTTCGAATAAGCTTTTCCTCATTCAGTTGACTTAGTGTTCAGGAACGGATAGTGTCAATTTGCTCTTTTTTGGCAATAATCCGAGGTCAAACCAGACACTAAAGATCGACGAAACGTGGAAAAAAAAAACTAGCCTTATGATTGAACCTACAAAATTACTTAAAATAAGATGAAGCTAAAATAAGTAGATAAACAGTAACATTCCTACCAGTTAGTCTCTACTCATAGCTCAAATGCCACTCGATCAAAGTTCAATCCAGGAGTACGTTAACTGGCTTTGCGACCAGTTATGTTAAAGTTAAGGTGAAGCCTGGATTTTTCAGGTTCTTTGATATTTAAAAAGACAAACTTGAAAACAACCTGAAGGGAACGTTACATTAACAAATTCATTTGTTTCATTGCAGTTTACTTATAATATATAGAATATATTTTAAATATATTCCCAGTTCATAACAACTGAGGAACGCGGAAGCCATTTGCGCGTTTTTGTATATAAAACATTGTTACAGATAATATTTCTACGGTCAACGCAAGAAATTTGGGCATTTATTCGACTGAAATTTGTAACATCAGAGCTCAAATGTCAGCCATGATAGAAGAAAAAATAGCCTCATCTCACCCTAATAACTCTATCTCTACCACGTTGTGGAGAGAAGAAATGTAGATAAAACTTCTGGGCCTCTCTATTTAAAAAATCCTTTGTTGTGACAATTCAGTCGAAATCAGTTGAAACCTCTTCAGCAATCTAACATTCACTTGGTACTGTTCATTTTTCAATCTTTTCTTCAAGTCTTTTTTGGGCACTGACGTTTAAGGATGGATTAGGAAAGGGTAACTGCACTGGGAAACTTCTGTTAATGACGAGTCATGCAGGAAGTATTTCCATATAAAAAAAAAACTTCTTTGTTATCTGTTGCCAAATTAAGCTTAACCTCTGATCATGACAAGAAACGTCTACTTGCTGAGAATCGCAATTCATGTCGGCAAAGCTATTGACGCTCAGAATGT